GACTTTTAAAAACACCAGTGTAGGCTCATAAGGCCCTGAAGGCAAAAAGCGAAATTTTCCACGAAATGACGTCACTTCCGGTTTGGGGCAGGTCACGGCGGACATGCGATAGTTCGCGCTGATGGATGTAGGAAGTGTTACAAACAGCTGATCGGATCGGCAAAGCGTGTTTCTGGAATATTATGTTTTTGTTGCTGCAAGTGCTTTTTATGCAGTTTTTGCAAAGCTTTATGTGGAAGGAAACCGTGACCGAGGACAAGCTAAGATGTAAGTACAACTCCTCTGGTTTCATATGCAAAATAATTATTGCGCTAGCTCACGTGGTTGCAGTGCTACCGGGATTTAGACATAGTTACGCAAAACGGAGCGTGCCCGCTCCGACCGTGTTTAAAGGGTTAACAGGTTTCAAAACTGGGTTGGCATTTATGATTTATGTGTCTGTATGTTGAAACATGCGTACTTATCTTAAATGTCTGGCAAAAAACCGAAACTTAACAAATTTTTATTTTTGCTTCTCAGGACCAGGGATATGTCTTCAAAATACAAGAACACCATCCTCAAAAGTGTTCTTATCAGTTCAGGACCTCCTCCTGTTTACCAGCTAAACCCAAAGAAAAAAATGTTTGGAACGCTGACAAAAATGACTGTTGGTGAAAAAAATCCAAAAAAGACAAATAAAACCATCTTACTTGTGGGTGAAACAGGAGCAGGAAAATCTACTCTGATCAATGCTTTGGTCAACTACACGATGGGAGTGACGTGGGAGGATGGAGTCTGGTTTCAGATCGTAGAGGAGGAGAAGAAAAGTCAATCAAAAAGTCAGACATCAGATGTGATCGTGTACGAGATCTTTGGTTTTGAAGATGAAACTCTGCCCTACTCTCTGACCATCATCGACACTCCTGGATATGGAGACACCAGAGGGACTGAGCATGATGTCATTGTTAGTGAAAGATTATTGGACTTGTTTCGATCAGATGACGGAGTTCAAGAAGTTCATGCAGTGGGTCTAGTGATGAAGGCGAGTGATAATCGACTGAGTGATCGATTGAGGTACATCTTTGATTCAGTCATTTCTCTGTTTGGAAAAAACCTGGAGAAAAACATTGTGGCCCTGATCACACACTCAGATGGTGTAACACCTGAAAATGCTCTTGAAGCTCTTGAAGCTGCAAAAATAAAATGTGCCAGAATAGAGGATGAGCCAGTTTGCTTCCTGTTCAATAACCAACAGGAAAAAGAGAGAAAAAAGAAAGACAAGGTGGGTTTGCATAACGCATGGAGAGTATCAGAGGGAGGAATGAGTGAATTCTCAGAATTCCTGGAAAATATTGAACCTCAGAAACTGATGACAACTGTTGAAGTGTTAAATGAACGCATCAGATTGACAGCCTGCATTCAAAACCTGCAAGAAAGAATAGATTTTATTGAATTAAAACAGACAGAAATAAAACAGACTCAAGAGGCTCTGAAGAAACACGAAGAAAAGATGACGACAAATAAGGAGTTCACTATAGAAATTGATGAGGTCTACAAAGTTAGAGAAGATATCGAGGTTGGGTGGTGGTGCTTGTTGGCTGGGTATGCAGGAGCTGTCAGCTGTAAAGTCTGTGAGGAGAACTGTCACTATCCTGGATGCACAATGGCCTGGTATCCTGCACACTGTGAGGTCATGAAAGGAGGCCGCTGTACTTTTTGTACCAACAAGTGTCCTGCATCAGATCATGTGAAAGAAAGGAAGATCTATGTAACCAAGACACGTCGTGTCAAAAAGACTAATGAAGAAATGAAAAACAAGTATGACAAGAACAAGACAGAAAGTGAGGACAAGTCCAGCCTTTTGGAAAATCTAGAAAAGGAAATGAACCAGCTGAGAGCAGAGAAGTCACAGTGGCTGGAGGAGTCCTACCAACATGTTGTCAGACTGGAGGAAATCGCTCTGAATGTTTTTTCTCTGTCCACTATTGTACACTTAGAGTTATTAAGTGAGAAGATGAAGGAGAAAGGAGACACAGAGAAGGTCCAGAAACTGGAGGAGATGAGAAGCAGAGTGGATGAAGGTACCAGAGGAGCTCTGCAGTACATACCTGCAGTTATGAAAAAATTTGGGCAAACCTTATGGAACAAGATGAAAACCCATCAGACAGATATGTAGAATTTAACTCAAATCACGAGACATCCTCATGGTTTTACAGAAAATACAGTAGTTCTGTAAAAATTGCATATGGAAATGTTTCACTTGCAGATTTAATCAGTTATCAATTATCAGTTTACTCTGTCATTGGTAATTGGCCTCAGGATGATGAGAGCAGCTACAACCCAGACTTTGACCATTATGCTAAATGTTCTGATGAGTCCTGTCTCAAAA